TAAATAATTTAGCTGTACTACATTAATAACCAGATACACTATCCATGAAGCAAGGCCTTTGTGTGCTGTGTATACAGTTTAAGCACACTATCCAGTTTCAGAGAGCTAACAGTCTAAACATAACATGTGCCATTCCCTCACAACAGGAAAAAACAGATGATGAACACAGAGAATGGATAAAAGAGAAAACAAGACTACATTGGTCAGTCTGACTAACCATTAGCCATAGATCATCAGTTGCCTAAATACTGTTTTGCTTACTTAAAAACTCATCCACTATCTAACTTCAGGAAGCACAGCAGAGTACCCTCTGTGTTCTGTAACACAAAGCCAAGCAGAATTCCAGAACGGTATATTTATGGCATGTCTAAAATGACTGATCTAAAAATAAAACAACGCCTTTTATGAAGGATTAGGTTATTTAGATTTCTCTTTCCTTCCTTTCTTTGAGCAACTTCCCTCCTCATCAGTTTCCTACAACACACTTTCACATCACCTCCAATAACCCCGTATAAATCACGATCTTTCCTCATCTACAGCATCTGAAGTTCCCCATGCACTTTTTAAAACCTGGGATGACAACCCAGAATTTTAGCAGATGACTAACTGCTACTACTTCTCTTTTGACTTTATTTAGACAAGAGGTTCAGATGACAGCTTCCTACAGGTCTTCACAGAATCACAGAACAGCTGAGGTTGAAAAGAACCTCTGGAGGTTCAACCCCCTGCTCAGGCAGGTTAAAAGCTTTCAAAAGACAGTCAATGCCACCTGGTATCAAACCCACCTAATAGCATGTGCCTCCTCCACAGTAAGTAAATAACTCTTTTCAGGGAACTTTCATTTCCCCCATCCCTGAAACTAGGATATGCACAGTGGTGGAACTATTTTATTTTGCTTGGACGGGAAGTTAACCAACAATTTCGTGTGTACTGCACATCCACACCCCGTTGCTCCAGAACCGGGTAACTACAGTGATTTGAACATAGATTTTGAAGCATATGTTTTTAATCTTTTTTTAATCCTTCTTTTATCCTCCCTTTTTACCCTTCTTTGTTCAAACTGCTATGTTTGCCTCTTTTTTAATGCATTACAGCTTCTGGCTTTAGACAGGAAGGTACTAATACCTTCTGGAAGAAACAAAAGTAAAAACTGCCTTCTTGGTGTTAAAATCTGCTTGCCCTGACAAGAGAAAATATATTCTTGACCTAATATAACAGTGCACATCGACTAGAATCACAGCTACTTATGCAGGATTAAAATGTAATATGCAGTAACAACAACAATGATCTAAGGCAGTAAAAACTTGGATTGTTCAATGTCTCGTTCCAAAAACATTCTCTTACTCTGTATTAGTGAGGCAGAGCTCATTTCTATAAATCAGATATTGCCCTGTACTCCATGTCCTAGCCATGCATAAGGACTGTCCTGCTCAGACTGATCCCACCTCCTGCCCAAAGATTTTCCTACAGATGCCTGTTGACTGTGTGCACAAACTGTGCAGGCAAAACTACTGACATTTTATTCGGGACTGTATTAATTAAGCATTGTCACAAGAAGAACAAAGACTCTCAGCAATGCTTCCTACCTAAGGAACGAGAAAGATTCCCTATCACATGCAAAAACAACACAACTTTTCTTGCCAGGAATAGAGTCTACACTTGGTTTCCTCTACCAAAATCCAACAGTAACTCCCAACTTTGTAGCAGACCTTTACAATCAAGATTCCCTCTGTCTTTCCACTAAAAAGACAATGAAAACAACGGATAGTGAGACAGAACAATGATTGACATTCACATAAAACACATTGCCAAGGACTTTAAAAATCTACATTGTTCTATTACCATTGTATTGTGCTTTAGGAAGCTTGCATTTTAAAAGAAAACAGAAGGATACAGACAAATAATTAACTTTGACAGAAAATAATAATCCATCTACTATTTCATTTTTGCTACTGAAGGGCAAATCTAAAATTACACATGGAATCTCCCATTCTAAAATAAACAGTAATGTAATGTCTGAGAGTAAAGTTGAAAGAAAGAAAGCCATAAGAATGTTCTAATAGTCCCCAACCCCATTCTCTCTTTGGATCTGCCTGCTCAAACAGATCAGGAGCAGACAATGAAATTCTCCCCTCCTCCCTTTCCAAGACTGTGAAAACTGTCAAATTCATGAGCCATAATGTTTCCTAATCTACAGGGGCTGGGAATATAAATTATATTTGCCTAAGGCTGGTCCAGCAGAGCACGCTTTTTTGATTGTCACATCCAGTTAAGAAAAGCAATATGCTTAAAATGGAACTTCTATTTTTGACTAATAAACACGATCTGGTCAAATTTTTAACTGATTAATCCCATAACAGTAATATTTCATATCGTCAATATGTCTATGCATTAGCTATTTTTCTCAAACTGATAACCAGTACAACAGATTGCCAAATCTACCCAATCTCCAAAAAACATTGAACAGTGACTCAATTCAGCTAGTTTGGATTATTATGATACAGAATTTGATCTTGCCAGCATTTATACCCCTGACAAACTGATAAATGGCAAATGAGCCTTACAGAGGTTGCCTGCACTGGGGCACACCAATGTCCTAGAGCTACACCCACAAGCTTGAGCTGAGGGAGGTTTAATGCAGATCTTGTTGGCTTGGCAAGGACTGCTGAGGGCTCACCCTCTGCTCACTTCATAGATCTGCCACTACTGAACCTGAACTGCTGAGACCCCATGTCCCAGTTCAACAACACTGATAATGTGCCAACTGACCAGTCAGTGAGGTATTGCGTCACATAGCCCTGTTCCCTCTGGTGTTCAGCCTGCAGCTGGCAGACACTACAGTACTTTAACGTTTTTTTTTCCTTTCTGGAAAAACTAAAAAGCAATACAGCAAAACACCATTCAAAACTACTTCTGAGGCTACTGCAGTTTAAGCTTTAGGATAACACCTATGTTCAAGTATTTATTCTAGAGCAGAAATTCAAGCCTACTGTGCTGTAACTACAAGAAATAAAGAAAATAAAACCAAACCAAACCCCCTCCAGCCTCTCAAAAACAAAACAGTTGGCAAAGAGCTCAAGGAATGATGGAATCACTTCTGTATATACTTTCCTTTCTCTGTGTGGTCATTAGACTTACACTGGTGAAATTTTTAGCAGGCTAACGGGAAAACAGTAATCCAATTATGATGCTATAGGATTTTCTTAATGTTTATGAAAGTTGTATTGGTCATGGATAGATGGCTAAGTAAGTGGGACTCTTTTTTCTCCATTTTTATTTCATTGAGAAAGCATGGACGTGGCATTTCAATTGTGACATTTATTCTTCCAGTGAAGAGACATGACAAAGGTTATGCTTTCAATAAATATTTGAAAACAAGTAAGTTTTGCTTTCAATTAACTTAGTGTTGTGAGAGTATAAACTGTATTTATACTGTCGACCAGCAAATAATGTTGTCATAAAAAGCTTCGTATCAATTCTGCTGCAACATTTCATAAGTCACCCCAAGTTGTCACAAGTTTATCCAGTTTTCCATTTCATTTCCTTTCATTACCATCACCACTTCAGCCACTCATATTTTTTGTTAGGTATGTTTAAATTAGGCACCAAATCATGAAAAAAAATATTTATTTAATTTCTGTTATCACCACAGGGTCAGCATTTCACTATGCAATCATTTCACATTTCCTCTGTTTTCACTGTGCAACAGCCTTATGATAGATCAGATAATGGGGAAAGTCCTCGGGCACTGTTACTATTATGAAATGCACTTTCACGTGTATCCTTTCTGAGGGAAACCCACTTGATGCAGCAATGCTGTAAGCCCTCCCTTTCTTTTCCATGTTGTGGAGTGGCTGGTCCCTATCTCCCAGTGCCTTTGCTGATGGATCATAAAAAGGCCTTCAGGTTCCCTTTCCCATTGAGTTCTCTAGGTGTGATTCAGCATTGCTTTGACAAGGGAAGTTTCCAAATCAAAGCTTAAAGGATACACAGCTAAAATACCAATAAGCAGGAGGCATTAGAAGGCCTACAAATCTTATTTCTTCATTAATGCAAATCAGCTACACCTGGCATACAGAGTCACTGGGTCAAAGACTGCAGTGGCTGATGTATTAAATACCTGAGGACAACCACCAAGTGCAAACTGATTGTGAACCTCACAGTGTGCACAACATAACCAATGCATTTGAAACACATGTAATGCTGAGCTTAAACTGTATTTTAAGAATTCACGTGAAAACACTGGGGAATTCTGATCCTCATTCCAAGAATTACTATTCCTTACAAACAAGGGGAATATGTTCCATTCTGAAAACAGTACTTCTGGCCCCATTTTGAGACAGTCAAGTGCGGCTCTGATCAGATTTGCAAGGTCTACGCAACCTTATCTGCTAAGGTCCATTATCAAAAGCTACTAAGGAACAATTCTGAAACACATCGAATTCTATAACATGCTTTTGAAAGTCAGACAGGGTAGGTAATTCCCTCTATTAACATGGACTCTGATCACATTCGAAAATAGGACTTTACACCTGTTAGTTTTAATATGTGGTAGGGTGTAAATACCTTTTTTACAGCACTGGGGCTTTCTCTCTGAAAGCTTAAGCTACTATGAGTCAACAATGACAGAGAATTAAATTACAGGATGTCCCTCTCTTACAGATGGAAGGTAGCCAAGAACTTTACTACAATTCTTGCAGATGAAAAGGGCACCTGCTGCTTAACTACCACTGGAGTCAACTCCTGCACATGCAGACAGCACTTCTCGGGGTCACTGGAGAAGTAGATGGTCCACACCGGGAAAACGAGGCCTACTGCCCCTCAGAAGAGTGGGCAACCCATGCCGCTTGCCCACAAGGGCTTTGTGGCTGCCACTTTTCAGCAAGGCACCATCTCAGCTTTGATCCAGGCAGCGACAAGAAAGCTCACCCCAGGGAGCGCCTGCATCCCACCACCACGTCCCACGGCCGCCTCTTGCCGGACTTTGCCATGCCCCTCACCTTCCACCAGCTCGTCCAGGCTGGTGAGCTTCTTGCTGCCATCGATGGTGTAGATGGTGCGGACCCCTTGGGGCAGGTTCACGTTGTCCGACAGGGAGCGGGTGAGCTCCACCAGGAGGGCGTCGAAGGAGCGGAAGCGGTCGGGGGAGATGGCGTACACCAAGCCCTTGAAGTACCTGTCCCCGTTGCGGTAGAAGCGGGCTTTGCGCGCCTTCTTCTCCGAGCTGAGCGCTTGCAGGGTGCGGGTCCGGTAGAGGCTGCAGTGTGCGCTGTGAGCCGGGCTGGGCACCAGCCCATTGCCCCTCGGCCCTGCGCCGCCGCCCGACCCGGAGCCGCCGCGCCGCGGCCCGGAGCGCTGCTGCCGCTTGTCCCGCTCCTCGAAGTGCTCCAGCTCGATGCTCCGGTTGCTCGCCATGGGGAGGGAGCTGCCTGCCGGCCCGCCCGCCCCTCCCGGCTCTCCGCTACGGGCTGCTACGCCTGCCCCCCGCGCTCGCAAGGGCTCCGGCCGCTTAATTCAGCATCGCGCCCGGCCCCGCTCGCCGGGAGGGCTGCGGGTGAGCGCGGCGCCCGACCTGCCCCGCAACCGCAGCCGCCGCTACCCGCTGCTGCGCCCGCCGCCGCGCACAAAAGCATCCCTCATGCCCCGGCGCGGCGCCTCCCGGCTACAGGCGATGCCGGCAGGGGAGCCAGAAGCTCGGGGGAGCCCCGCAGCCGCGCCTCCGCGCCGTGCCCATGCAGGCTCGCACAATGCTCGGGTCCCCGCCGCAGCCTCTCCCCTGCTGGCTCTGCCAGGCAGCGGGGGCCGGAGCGCCTATGCCGCCAGCTCCGGCGCTGGTCCTGGATCCGGTCCCGGCGGGGGGAGCGGCGCAGCCCCGCCGGCTGCTCGGTGGGCAAGGGCGCTGCTGTCGCCCGCCTCGGAAGGGAAACAACCGCAGCGGATCCTGCGGGAAGAGCGCGCTCGCGGCCCGGCCGCCGGCGGTGGAACGGGAGCTGGCGCTGGAACGGGCGGGGCTCCCGCCAGGCCCCCGAAGCCGGGCGGGCGCGGGGGCGGCGCCATCTCGGCTCAGCGTCCGGCGCGGGGGCGGTGCTGTCCAAGGCGGCGGGGCGATCGGAGGCAGGGAGGGATGGGAGCGCCTTGTAGGGTGGTGAAGCGGGAAGGAAAAGGGGGTTTTTGTAGGGCAGGAGAACGAATTTGTAGGAGCAGCTTTCCCGCAGGGGCAGCGCTGCCCTTCTCGCGGCGGCTCCGGCGGGAGCGGTCCATGGACCGCCAGTTCTCTCCTGGCTTCACTTGGGCTCAGTTACTAGGTTAAAACGCAAAAAATTCCCATAAGGCTCTTTCTATATGGCCCTCTGCTAAAATACATCGCCCGGGACGAAAATTATGCATCCCTGTCATTTGTTAAACATAGGAACTGTTTCACAAGGCCATGTAACGATAGGGCATGGGATAATGGCTTTAAACTGAAAGATACTAGGTGTAGATTAAGTATTAGTACGAAATTTACTCTGAGGGTGGTGACGGCCTGGAACAGTTTGCCCAGAGAAGCTGTGGTTGCTCCATCCCTGGAAGTGTTCAAGGCCAGGCTGGGGCTTTGAGGCACCTGGTTCAGTTAAAGGGTGCTCCTGACTGTGACAGAGGAGTTGGAACTAGATCGTGTTTAAGGTCTCTTCCAACCCAAACCATTCTGTGATTCTATCATTCTATGATTTTCCTTTTGCATTTGTGAATGCCAGTGATAATTTCTGAGGAACCAAATAACCTCATTCATACAGTCTAAACCTCCCAAATGTACTGTATCCCACGGTTCATAACTTCCCCAGGGATCTTCTCAGTGCTCCCTAGGTTGCTCAAGTCAAATTCACTTTTGGTAGAAATGGCCAACAAATGCATTGAAATGCAATGAATTACTTATATTCAACCATTATGAAATAAATTTTCTTGGCATAATGATTACGTAAAAAAACGTAGAAGGCATTTACAACTACATAGAGGTTTTCATATTTTTTAGGTCACTTGCATTGGGAGGTTCCGGTTGTGTTATGCTATTACAGGTGGTCACAGTTTCTGCTCTCTTGTCCAATATTCTTTACCACACTTCTCAGGGATTTATTATTTTTCACTTTTTATATTTTGAAATACAAATAAAATCAAGCACTATCTCACTTTTATTACTGGGCTTCTTACAAAGTAGATTAAACATCTAGCTGCAATATTCCTAAACACAGTACTTGGAAAACATCAGTGAATTTCACTTTTTATTGAAGTGCCAACTTCTGTGATGCTTGGAAACATTCACAAGCAAAATGAAGTGGTAAGCCGTGGTGCTGGATTATCTTCCCCAGTGGTAAAATCAACAAAAGGAACTGAATGAAGGGGGAGTTTTATTACAGTCGGGGAATGCATAGACCTACTAAAACTAGATATGCAGGTCTTGCCTAGGAACTAGGACCCAGAAAACTGTAGGAATCAACTTTCTAGACTGCTTTTGATATGCAGTTTCTCATCCTGTTTACAGGCAAAGTTACACAGAGTTCAATCTCACTTGCATAACTTGGCTCCAGAGTGGCTTGGTCTTAGCTGCAAGGCTGTATTTTTTCCAAATGATACCACGCTGCATGGGCCCTTGCAGAACAAGTCACATCACTTAGTTCAAACCTCAGGTGGAGGTTATTTGGACTAACCTTTCTCAATTTGCTTAGAAGCAGACCACAAAAGCTCATGGAATTTTAATTCCTCCCTTGTACACACCTTCTCTCTCCTCCCAACTGTTAAATATTGCCTACTGATCACAGTATAGTGCTCAACTATGTGTATAGGACTCTTGCCAACTAAAATGTAAAATATATATATTTATATGTGAATTTAGTATACTAACTGTGTCTATAACTGCATTTAGGTTGGAGAATTCAGTGCCAGGATAAGAATTTCATTGGTTTCAACTTGTTTTGGTGGGTGGTAGAATATGTCATGTGCAGGACTTGCTCTGACTTCTCAGCTCTGGCTAGAGATGGGATAGAAGGAATGGAATTTTACACAGCCTCTGATAAAGTAAAACTAAAAGGTAATTCTTCAGCTTTTACCAGGAAAATTCTTTCTCCTCATCAAAGGAAATTCCCACTACAGACAGTTTTCGAAGTCTTTACAGCAGCTGTTTTTTAGGGAGCATATAAACACGAAATTGACTTCTAGCCTGTAAAACTAAACTACTTCTATATTAAGAGGCTGTTTACAGAGAGGTTACAATTAGATCTGCATGTGTAACTGCCAAGGAAATGCCTGGTGACACCTCAAACATGGTCCTACAACTTGTACTCTTTCTTTTTTGGTTCTCCTCAGATGTTGTGTGTATTTTTAATAAGCTCTGCAAGCCCCCATTAAGAATGGTTCGCAGTGCTTCCATTTGTGTGTATGCTTTGCCTTTTTCTTATAGCCTTATTTCCCCTAGGGAGTTGTCTGTAGTCAAACAGTGAGGATTTAAAAGACTTTCAAAGATGAGGAATAACAACCTGAAACAACCTCATATGCAGCTGGATGGTATTTGTTGTTACACATTAGAAATCTAATGTGATTAATACGCAGTTCTGTATGGAACTGAGCTATGCATTCCCATTATCTTCTTCCAAAAAAGAGTTGACAAATTAGTAGTTCACTTAACAGCAAGCAATGTTACATGTATAAATGATACCTTGCTTATTAACATAAATCTCCAGACACCATAAAAATGTGATTATCATTTATTCTTGTGATATTCTTATTCTTGTGATATTCTTATTCTATAAACATACATTTCCTGTTTGAAAAGAATACACTTTCCAGTTTTCATGTCCATCTAATTAATCACTTCTTCCACCTATCTTTGTTTTTTTTCTGCTTTATTGTGGTAAGCATAATGAATTCTTTGTTTAAATCTCTTCTTGCATCTAGAAGGCCTCCTATGTGGTTTGATTGGTTGGTTGATTTTTTGCTTTGAAACAAGCAAGACCTGTAAGAAATTTCTAAAAGGAAACAATTGTCATCACATGCAATATCTTTTCTTTTTTCTGTTACCTGAACTCCCTACCTTCCTGGTAGTAATCAGTGAAATTCAAGTCACTTACCACATTTAATGGGATTGATAGGTGAAATTCAGCTCAGAATCAGAGTTTACATTGCATTTTAGAAAAGCAGTTATGTATCTGACCTTTGCATTTGGCCCATTGAGTTCACCTTGAAAATTAAAATGCCTAATGTTGCTAAAGAAATAAAAAAAAACACCATAAATTTGGGGTCTGTTGAATCAAGATTTGTTATATGGAAAACTTTATTTGAATAACAAAATCTTTACTTGCCGCACTAAAGACACCAAATTTGAGTCTTTAAACAATTAAATGTTTATTTGTAATGATTTGGTTTTAACCATTAATGTTAAAATGCTTTTAAAATATTCATACATTAAAAACTCTCAGCATCCCTGTGAGATGCTGTGCCCTACTTTATAGATACATAAAATGGGAAAACAAAAATTTAAGCAACTCGACCAAGTAGCAGAGAAATATATCAGCGTATGTGGCGTAAGAAGGATCTTCAGTCCTCAGTGAGTGGCAGTGCGCCCAGATGGCCAGGAAGGCCAGTGGCATCCTGGCTTATGTCAGAAATAATATGGTCAGCAGGACTAAGGCATTGATTGTCCCCCTCTACCTGGCAATTGTGAGCCCACACCTCAAATCCTGTGTTCAGTGTGGGCCCCTTACTACAAGAAAGACGTTGAGGTGCTGGGGTGTGTCCAGAGAAGGGCAATAGAGCTGGGGAAGGAATTGGAGCACAAGTCGGATGAGTAGGAGCTGAGGGAGCTGGGTTTGTTTAGCCTTAAGGAGACTTATTGCTCTCTACAGCTGCCTGAAAGGAGTTGCAGCAAGGTAGGGGTCAGTCTCTTCCTCCTATGTGATAGGACAAGAGGAAATGGCTTCAAGTTGCAGTTGCACCAGGAAAGGTTTAGATTGGATATTAGGAAAAAATTCTTCACTGAAAGGGTGGTCAGGCATTGGAACCGACTGCCTGGGTGGAATCACCATTCCTGGAGGTATTTAAAAGATGTGTAGATGTAGCACTTGAGGACATGGTTTAGTCTTTTTGCACTCCAGTAAAAATCAGTTCCTAATTATAATTGATTGTTCAGTGACATGAGGTAATTATCCTCACCCACTCATATTGGATCAGAAATGTCCATATTAAATAAATTGAGTATGAGTGTCTACGATATAAATAAAGGTGCAACTCCTAATGCCTTTACTGGTGGATTATATAAAGGTCTTCATGTTCCTTTCTCATCAAGTTCTCCAGATGTTGCAGAAAGTGAAACAGAAGTTTACAAATCAAATCTTAAAGGATACGCAGCTGAAAGCCTAAGGAAGGAGAGGCATTTGAAGGCCTACAAATTGTATGTCTTTGCTTATGAATCTACATTGCAAGCTAGTTGAGAATTTTACTTTTTTGACAACAATTCAAGATGGCTACATTGACTTGTATGACTCATTTAGGCTTTGCATATGGCAAATTCCAACTATCCAATACCACTGTAACTGAATAAAAATGGATACAACAAATAGATAATTTGAAGAGGAAAAAGGCATTATTTACAAAAAAAGAAATGCTTCTTTTACTTAGCTATTTTTTTCTAAATAATTTGAAAAACAGGACATTAGGGTTTTTAAACTCTTTTGCTGGTACCCCATCATAATTTTTGCATAATCGTAATAATTTTAATTCCATCTGTTGCTCTTTCAATACAAGACATAACAATTCTATATTTCCAATAGAAATGGCTGTCTGGATAGTTGCTATAAGTCTGGTTGAACAATCTGTGATCTAGGGTTAAATGCATCATTTTAATCTGT